AGGAAAGCCTGAAACATAGTAAAAAATGAAGAAAAAAAAAAAAAAAAAAAAAGTATATATACATGTACCAATTAACAATGTTTCACCCAGGTATAGTGGCGCACCCCTGTAATCCCAGCATTTGGGAGGCTGAGGCAGGAGGATCGCCATAAATTCAAGGCCAGCCTGGACTACATGGTGAGACCCTGTCTCAAAACAAAAAACAAAAAAAACAATGGTCAACAATGAACCATATATATGATGATAAATCCATAAGATTATATCACCTTGTAGTCATCTTAGTTTGTGCAACACACTCTGACGTTCACAGCATGACAGAAGCACCTGTTTCTCGGAATGCATCCCTGGTGCTAAGTACATTGTTTTGGTTCATACCTAGATGATCTGCAAGGGCCTCAGGCACTCATAGGCAGGGCTTTGGGGCTATGACTGGATTAGGGGGCACCGCAGAGGACTTGCTGCGCCCGTTAGAGGTTGGGTCTGTCAGAAGAGGTGGCTTACTGGGGGTGTGATTGGGAAGGGTATGCCTCCCTCTAAGCGCCTCCCTGGACTCTCTGCTTCCCCGCCACCATAAAAAGCAGCTTTTCCTCCACTATGCTTCTCTGCGATGCTGTTATCTGCCTTGGGGCAGCAAACCATGGCAAAATAACCTCCCCTTTAAGGTGTGGGTGTCAGGTATTGTGTCTCAGCATTGAGGAAGTGACTAAGACATTCACCCTTACCTATAGTAACCATGTTGTACAATAGATCTCTTGAATTTATTCATCCCAGTTGAATTTTTGTATCCTTTGACCCACATTTTCTTAAATCCCCTTCCCACTAGCTCCTAGTAACCAATGTCATGCTTTACTTCTATGAGTTCAACATTGTAAAATTCTACATACAAGTAAGGTCTTGTGGTATTTGTCTTTCTGTGCCTGGTTTATTTCACTTAGCGTCCTATCCTCGAGGTTTATGCGTACTGTGCAAATGACAGGATTTCCTTCTTTTTAAAGGTCAAATAATACTCCATTGCATATACATACCACATTTTCTTTACTCATTCACCAGTTGATGGACACTTACATTGATCTGACACCGTGACTGCTGAGTAGTGCTGTAGTAAGCATAAGGTGCAGACAGACATCTCTTCAACAGGTCACTTCTATTTCCTCTGGGGTAGTGGGGTTACTGGATCTATATCACTGCTTTTTCTCAGATTCTCCTGTGTCTCAGAGCATGACTGTGCTTTTCTCCAGGCCCCATTAGCCCTGGCATGGCTGTGGCCCACAGCTTTGCTTCCTCATGTGGTGGGCACAGGAGGAGATCATTACCGGGACCAGATTAGCAGCTCCTCAAGGCCCTGTGGTTGGGGGCATAGCTGAGAGTGGATCGGGTCCCGCTTCACCAGGGCTATCTACCCTGGCCTACATTAGACATCTAAGAGAGGCGTTCCTGCCGTAGTATGCTAAGTTTAAACTTCAGGCGTGCACAGTAGGTTTAAGTGTGAACTCCGCCCCCCCCGTGTCTGTGCCATAACTACTCCAAGCCTGGCCTCCTCCATGGTGTCCTGGCACATGGCTACTCCAGCCCCACTTCAAGGTACACACACATGGGTTGATATGGACCACATGCACACACACACACACACACACACACACACACACAGGCCCACCCAGGACCGTTGCTGCGATATCCTGTGCTAATAATTGAGGCACAAAAGAGCTTTTCACTGCCAACTCAACTGTTTAGGGACCCACCTGGTACTTCTCTACTCTAACCTACACCTTGCCAAGAGAATCATGTCTTGGTGCTAAATATCCCTGTACACCTTGCATCTGGATGTTATAAACAAGTTAAGAGCCAGGCATGGTGGCACACGCCTGTAATCCTAGAATTCAGAAAGCTGAGGCAGGAGGATCACCCCAAGTTTGAAGCCAGCCTAGGCTACATAATGAGTTCAGGGCTAGCCTATACACTACGTGGTGAGACCTTGTCTCGAAAAAAAAACCCAAATAAATAAGTTAATCATCTATCAATGGGCACAGCTCTGCCATCAGGAAAGGATGCCAATTATTGCCCCATGGGTCATGGGTTAGTTTAAAAAAATGTACCCTGGAGGCTTTTATGTTCAGAAATGGGGCTTTAGAAGGTGATGGGATTATGGGCAGTAGGAGATTAATCCACTGATGAGTTCACAGATGAGTGGGCTCTTAGAAGGCTGGCCTGATTGGAGGAAGTAGGTCATTGAGGGCGTGTCTTTGAAGAGTATATCCAGTCTGCCCCTCCTCCCTGGCTTCTTCCTCTGCTGTCTGCTTCCTGGCTGTGCGATGCCCTTCTGCTATGATGTTTCTGCCTTAGAGCGAGCTGACCATGAACTGACCATGTGCCATGAGCCAGAATAAATCTGTCCTCCTTTAAATTGTGAATGTCACACATTTTGTCCCAGTGAAGAAAAGCTAACACACCATGTAACCCTGTCCACAGTCAGGGGGTGCGTGTACTACAGAGCAGGCCAGGATCCAGTCTAGGGCTGCTCACTGCATTTAGCTATTATAACTCCTCTATCATCTCCTTTAATCTGAAAATGCAGCCATTTTTTTCTTTATAACTTTGACATTTTTGGCACTTGTATTTTGTACTGGGGGTTGAACCCAGGGAGCACTGAGCTACCCCCCTTTTATAAATTTTACTTTGATGACTGGGGATTTAGCTCAGTGGTGCCGCCGCCTGCCTCACAAGCACAAGGTTCCAAATACAATCCCCGGAACCAAAAAATAAAATAAAATTTTACTTTGAGAGACTCTCAGTAAATTGCCCAAGCTGGATTCAAACTTGCAATCCTCCTGCCTCAACTTCCCAAGTAGCTGAGCTTGATTACAGGAATGTGCCATCACAACTGGTCATATTCACATTTTTCAAAGCGTTCGGGCAATTTGTTGTATATAATGTCTTACTTTCAACTTGTCTGCTCTTTTGTCATGATCAGATTCAGGCTTTGTATGTGTGGAAGCACTACGTGGATGCTGTGCCCTGGGTGTGTTATATCTGGAGCATTGTGTCCCATTCTTGGAGATGTTAATTAGATTTGATCACCTCATTGAACTGATGTTTAGCAGGTTTCTCCATGGTAAAGCTACCATTTCTCCTCTTCATAATTAACCAGGGAACACATTGTGAACTGTGAATTTCTCATTCCTCATCAACTTTCACCCACAAATTTTAATATCCCTTAATATTTACCTGAAACAAATTACCTAAATAAGTTTTGCCAAGATGGTTGTAAATGGTACTGAGCTCCATTGTTTCTTTTATATCTACACATGTTCTATGTGTTTATACATATGTATGTTTTTATTATTACATGGATTTTTATTTTATTCAGTAGGTTATAATCCATGACTGTCATTACATATTTTGATTATCAGATTGTCTCAGATTTGGCCAGCAGAAGGTCCCTTTGTGTATCCCTGTGATTTTTCTTCTTTTGAGTACCTCCTTCCTTTCTGGCAAAACAAGATATTCCAGGTTCATGTTGTACAAACCTGGAATCAGCTATTTCCAAGGAGCCTTGGCTCTCTGGAGCAGGAAATAGTGTTTAGAAGTCAATACTGGGGCTAGGAAGTAGGTATATGTAGCTAAATAATAATTTAAAAATCTATCTATATCTACTTCTCCGATTCTAATCAAGCACCACAGATTTCTTTCATTCTTCCCCAATCCTATATTTTCCTCTCTTCTCAAACAGTAAGCACCGGGGTTCCCATCAGGATCAATATCAATGTATTTGCCTTATCCCACACAAAAATGAGTTTCAGAATTCCTATATTCATATCATTGTGAAAAATAAACTTTCTAAGCAGAGCTCAAGATTTACTTAATCTTATTCAAGATCATCTTTTCCTCTATAGCTGAGGGTCAACATAAGTGAAGATTCTAATGTTAATTGAATATGTTTCTTGAAATTCTTCTTTGTTGGCCAGGGATTTAGCTCAGTGGTGCTGCTGCCTGCCTTGAAAGTGCAAGGACCTGAGTTCAATCCCTAGCACAAAAAAAAAAAAAGAAAGAAAAAAAAGAAAAGCAAAGAAAGAAAAAAAGAAAGAAATTGTTCTTTGTTTCTCTTCAGTGTGGTTTTATTACTCATTTGCAATACAGGTAGGTTCATTTGTTTCTATTGATATTCACATTCAAGAGGTGTTCATCTTTGTTAATTTATGGATTTCAACTTGTAATTAATATAGCACTAATATAACACTAATGATAGTTCTAGAGGGCTCAGACTGTACACAGTGTGTTCAGAAGAGTCCTTCTGGTCCTTTCAGTCTATTCCCATTTTGTTTCAGGTTTATCCTTCCTATTTTTTACCCCCAGTGATGAGGACCAAACCCAGGCTTTCACACTGAGCTACATCCCAGCTCTTTTTTTTTTAATTTTGAGACAGAGTCTTGTTAACTTTCCTAGGCTGGGACTGAATTTGCAACCTTCCTGCCTCAGCCTTTCAGAGCTGGGATTACCAGCATGTCTCACCACACTTGGCTTTCTTCTTATATTTCTTTTACAAGTTTCATAGACACACACACACATATACACATACTCACTCCAAAATGTTTTCATTTTTAATTCATTCTAGTAATTATGGAGCGAGCAGCACTCTCCAGCCCACCATCGTCTCCACCACTTGTCTTCTTCAACCCTTTTTTCTGATTTGCTGCTCCCACCTAGTCCAGCTGAGCTCTCCTCGGGCCTGCAGGCCTGTGGACAGAACTCTAAGATGCAGATGCCCAGGGCTCTGGCTGTATGTTCTGTGGCATGTTCCTCTACACTTTGGGCTTCAGCGTTCTCATCTGGATAATGGAAAACTGGACTTGGGCCTTCCAGATTCCAGCACAAAAAGTCAAACTAGGCAGTTCATGACTGATCTCTACCATCTGGATCTGCACTGATGCTGGCCATGTGCCTCTGATGGATTGGGGGTGGGGAGCATGCTTGAGGAAGACTCGGCCAAGGTCCCTGCTTCTGCATTCTGGAAAACAGGCTTACGACTAACAGGCACATAAATATGAAATGCATCATCGAATAAGGAAAGTGCCAGGAAGAAAACTAAGGTAAATGAGTGACAGGAAGATGGAATAATGTTAAAGGAGGTCAATGAAGGCCCTTCCAGGGGGAACAGCAAGTGCAAAGATCCAGAAGTGGAAAATGCTTTGACAGATGAGGAGAACAGGAAGATGATTGCTATGGCTTGGGTGTGTGGCAGAAGAGGAGGAGGAAGGGAAGCGGAGATGTGAGGAGAAGGCAGATAACGGAGGCCACCCCATGGCACAGAGGAGCTGAGATTTCAGATGATTGGGAACAGTCATGACCCCATCTGATTGTTTTAAGAGGGACCCACCTCAGCTGCTGGGTCAAGAGCGGATAGGAGGGTGTCAATCTAGTCATTGAAACAAATTACCCAAGGCATCCAGACAAGGGGTATCTGATACAGGGGAAGAACTGAGCTACCAACAGATGATGAGGCAATCCAAAGATGAGAAATGGTAAGAAGCACCACCATCATACAGGTAGAAGCTTATTGGAAGGAAACAGTGTTCTGATGAGAGCTTCTGCCAGGGTCTTCTAACAGGAACCAGACATGCAGGAGACTGTCTGAAAGTAGCCACGGCTGTGGGGAGAGAGGGCCTTCTACAGGGGGATCTGGAGTCCCATGTGGAACATGAGACTTCCTCCCTCCTTCCATTTCTCAGTCTTCTGTTAGTAATGCCCACTCAGTGCACACTCCCAAAGAAGCCAGGCCAGGCTGGGAGTGCAGATGCCCAACACAAAGTGCAAGAGGAGAGGGTGGCAGCCTGGGCATCAGAGCCCTTCATGGGTAGACGATGATGTGAGGGGCCAGAGGAGCAAGGAACAAGGAACAGATCTGAGAGCAAACAGGCAGATGGCTGACATAAGGTGCAGGAGCAGAGGCTAGGAGATCAGTTAGAAGGGGGCTGCGATGATCAGGTGAGAGGTGATGACGGCAGAAGCCTTGGTATTGGGGCTGGTGGTGAGAATCGCTGGATTTTGGATATCCTGATGGGTTGGATATGGGTGCAGCAGAAAGGGAGGCATTTATCCTGAGTTTGCTAAAATGAAGTCTCTAGAAGGAACAGAATGAGAAGGGGTCAAGAGTCATGGTTCTATTTTGGAATAGGAAATTTGAGGTGCCCATTAGGTCAGTCCTGGTGGACATGAAGAGGCAGCTGAAGACTCAAGCCTGGGGTACAAGGAAGAAGAGCTTCAGATGTATATGCAAGATACCAAGGCATAGATGTGATTTTGCCATGAAACTAGTTATCCAGCTTTCCCTGAGCCAGCCACCTTGAAGTGCCACACCTTGAAGTTGGCCAGGACTGACTTTTGTGCCTCCTGGGGAAAACAGAGGGTGGAGATCTTGCTCACTCAAACTGTAAGCCTTGAGAATTGGGGAGGGGTGTTTTCTAAAGAAAATTCAGCGTGCTTTTACCATAAGGGGGCTTGTTTGCTAGCACTAAAACAACTAGCAGTTGTCTGCTAAGACTTCCTCTTCTTGCCGTCACTGCCATGGAGCACCCATTCTGGCCCAAATTAATATTGGCCAAGCACCTATCATGTGCCATGCCCTGGGATTTTCCTTCCAGGAGAGCCACTCCTCCGGGGCCCCAGAGCGTACCTAAGGGCCTTCCTGCTCAGGTTCTTCTAACCAGTTCGGGCTAACTGATCTGATCACCCCTACACATGTATTTCCCACCCTGGGAAAGGCAGGGAAGGGTCTGACCTGCTCCAAAGGGACACTAACTTCCTCAGTCTTGGCTCTAGGCTGGCGCCTGCTCTGCTCACCACCCCACCCCCGCACTTCCACAGCAATGCCTCCAGACTCTAGCTGGCAGCTGCTAGGACCCAGGGGGCTGGCGCCAGGCCCTGCCCCTCCCTTGCCAGCTCTGTGTGTCTCCAAAGGGCAACATCAGAGTGACAGCCAGTACCATCTCCAACTGAGTTGCTGGAGCCGGGCTGGGGCAAGGGGAGAGAGCCGGCAGGCTCAGACTTTCACTCTCCAAGGAACCAGTCAAGCCCCCAAGTGAATTGCATCCTGGACTTCCGGAGTCCCTTCCTGGGCAGGCTATGAGGTGAGAGGCCAGAGGAGCAAGGGACAGGTAATGGGAAGTGAGGCTCCAGTCGCTCTCTGCATATCAGCACAGGTGAAGCCTGAGCACTCCAATGGCCAACACCACAGGGCTGATCGTCACCGAATTCGCAGGCTCGGTAGGCTTGTTGCTGGCTGTTCTCGTGGAAGTGGGGGCCCTACTGGGCAACGGGGCACTGCTGGTTGTTGTGCTGCGCACGCCAGGACTGCAAGACATGCTCTACCTGGTGCACCTGTGCATCGTGGACCTGCTGGCAGCCACCTCCATCATGCCGCTGAGCCTGCTGGCCGCGCCCCCTCCAGGGCTAGGCCGTGTACGCCTGGGCCCCGTGCCGTGCCATGCCGCACGTTTCCTCTCTGCGGCGCTGCTGCCCGCGTGCACGCTCGGCGTGGCCGCCCTCGGACTGGCGCGCTATCACTTCATCGCACATCCGCTGCAGCCAGCTGGGCGGCCGGCTCCCAGACTTGTGCTCACAGCCGTGTGGGCCACCGCCGGGCTCCTGGGTGCTCTGTCCTTGCTTGGGCCGCCGCCCGCGCCGCCTCCCGCGCCGGCGCGCTGCTCCGTCCTGGTGGGAGGCCTTGGGCCCTTCCGGCCACTCTGGGCGCTGCTGGTCTTCGCACTGCCAGCTCTCCTACTGCTCAGCACCTATGGCAGCATCTTCCTCGTGGCGCGCCGCGCCGCCCTGCGTCCCCCTCTGCCCTCACGCGGTGTCCGGCTGCGCTCAGATTCTCTGGACAGCCGCCTGTCCTTCTTGCCGACCCTCCGGCCTCGCCTGCCCGGGGGCAAGGCGGTCCTGGCCCCAGCTCTGGCCGTGGGCCAGTTTGCAGCCTGCTGGTTGCCTTATGGCTGCGCGTGTCTGGCACCCGCAGCGCGGGCTGCAGAGGCTGAAGCGACTGTCACCTGGGTGGCCTACTCGGCCTTTGCTGCTCACCCCTTCCTGTATGGCTTGCTGCAGCGCCCTGTGCGTTTGGCGCTGGGCCGCCTCACCCGCCGCGCTCTGCCCCAGGTCCCGCAAGCCTGGCACCCTCAAGCACTCCTGCAGCGCCTCAAAGGACCCCCAGAGGGCCCCGCCCTAGGCTCCTCTGAGGCACCCCTGCAGGCCCGCGAATTGGCAGGAGGACTGAGCCTGAGCCTGCCAGAGACCACTTGAGAGCTCCCTTTCCCGACTGGAGAAAGGAGGGTGCTATCAGAGGGGACCCATCCCACCTCCTGCACTCGTGGCAGCAGGTGCTCAGCCTGGACTTTTGGCTCTGAAATGGGAGTTTGTCTGCAGTCTGGCAAGGCCCAGAGACATCTCAGGAATCCTGGGTGCTGGGCCAAACATTGCACAGCTGTGTGCACAACCTACTCTCCCGAGACCTGTTTCCCCATCAGTACCCTGCACCACCTCTGAGGGCCCCTCCAGCACAGGTTGTGAAACTCATGGATGGTCCCCAAGTCCAGGGAGGACAGTAGGTGGCAGGGCCCACAGCCAAAGTGATGACCAAGCAGGGAAGGGTCTGGGGTATAGCCACAGTAGGAGAAACCAGGGGAGAAACACCCAGAAGGACTTCCCTGACATCTGAAACAGGGAGGGGCTGGACAAAGCTACTGAAACATTCAATCTACTTTTGCAATGTCCAGGAGACAACTGGATCTGTCTGATGCTGGAAGCAGGAGGCTGGACAACCAAAGGGCCCTGAAACCTGAGAACTGGTGTGTGGATGGGGCTGAAGCCCAATCAGGGCTAATGGATTTACAGATGGAGGCCGCTGGGGCTTCTGTTGCACCCATTTTCTGTTGGTTTTCCCACCCTGACACCAGTATTTCACACCTTTCTGGTCGCTGAGAATATTTATTCAAAAACAGGGATTGAAAAAACTGTACAGAGTGTCTGCTGCTTGGGCCCCTGCCCCCCAAGCTACTCCCCCAGCTACCTAGCAGAGCCCCCTCTTTGGGGTGCCCCTGACAATCCCAGCCAGTCCATTCCAGTCAAAAAGTGTTATCCATGGAAGCAGCAGGAATCTGCAGGGAGTTGGAGAGAAGCTTGGCCCCAGCCACCCCTAGCCCTCCCTGTAGGTGGGAAGCCCTAAGAGATGGAGAATACATGGACACCACCCCCATGGTGGGGAACTAGGGAGGCCCCTGCTGCTCCTAGAGCTGAAGGTGGGGCTCTCTGGCCTAGGACTACTGCAGATTCCAGAACCCTGGCCCAGAAACATCCCCCTCTCCAAGAGTAGGAACTCCAAAGATGGGGGACAGGGTAGGGGGGTATCCATGCGTCTGGTGTTAGCGGCTGCGTTTGGGACTGACCCCAGGGTGGAGTCTCCTTGGACAGGTAGGATGCGGAGGCAGACCCTGCCGGAGGTCCTGCCTGCCCCCTCCTGTGCCTCAGCTGGCCTCAGTAGGGGGAGAATTTCTGCCGCTCAGCTTTCTTGCTCCCATTGGCCGCTGCCATCTTGGCAGTGTAGGCCGCCAAGCCCGGTGGTGGCCCTGGGGAAGCAGGTGGTAGAGCCAAGAAGGGCACAGGCTTGAGGCCGATGAAGTTGGAGAGGGAGATGGCATAGGGTGTGCCCAGCAGGCCTGGGGGAGCCGTGGGCAAGGCCGTCAGGGGTGGCGAGAAGGGGGCAGGCAGGTCTGCGGGGGCTGAGCCGGGCGTCCCCCCAGAGGTAGACTTGGCCGTCTCTAGACTGGAGAAAGGGATATAGAGGGGAGGTGAAGGGTAGATGGGGTAATGAGGGAAGATAAACGGCTTGAGATTAGCCAAAACCAGAAAAGCTGAGAGCAGCAATGAGGTAGATGTGTTTAAGGGGGAAGATGAGAAAGGTGGACATGAGAGGAAGGAAAGATAAGCAGATATAGTATGGGAGAGGAGAAATGGTGCTAGGGGCAAAGACACAGGGGAAAGAGTCAGCAATGGGGAAAGAGAACATGACAGTGGAGCAACACGGGGGACTCGGGTAGAACACCATGGAGATGCGAGAGTTTGTGGAGGCAGAGGACCAGTCCAGAGAAAAAGGAGGTCAGTTCTCCCTTCCCTGCTTGGGCTCCCACCCATGCTCACCAGGCAGTGATGAGGTACTGGGCCAGGGCGATGGAGACCGGCGAGCCAGTGATGGTTACATGCCGTTCACCAGCGCCCTCTGCTTGGTTCCCGATCTTGATATGTGCCCCTGACATCTGGCGGATCTCGCTGATCTTGCTGCCCTGGCGCCCAATCACGCAGCCAATCAACTAGGGAGAAGGCAGAAGTTGACTCTGGCCAAGGTCCAGAGCCCCACCTCCCCTACAACCCTCCAGCCACCACATCCCCTGCTCACATCATTGGGAACCAAAAACTCCTGGGAGCTGGTCTGTGCGCTGGGATCCAGTCCTGAGGCAGAGAAGAGGAGCTGAACCTCTCTGAACCCCATGTCCATCAGAGGGGGGCTTCCCAGCCTCATAGGTCTGTCCTGCCTCCTCCTGAACGGGCTGCTTACCTGGCACCACGCTGGGTGAGGCAAAGGGGACCGCATGGCCTGAAAGCTGCTGGAGCTTGGTGACCTGTGCCAAAGAAGAGGAGTCAGAGGTCAGAGGAGGCTTAGATCAGAAGGGAAGGTCTTGGGCTGTGGCTCACTCACCTCAGCGGGGGTCACAGCTCCATACTGACCCTGAACAGAGAAGCCCTGTGGGGACAAAGTAGGTGAAGAAGCTGTTACTGTGACAGGGCGGGGCAGCCTGAGCAGGGTCACACCTCCCCCTCTCCACAGTGTCTTCTATCCCCTCCTTCGACTTGGCCCCCTTTTCCTGTAATGCTTCCCATCCCTCCCGCTGTGCCCTCACCTGGTTGGCAGAGAGGAGGACAGTACCTAGGGAGAGGCTCGGATGGTATGGGATAGTGGCTCCCTTGGGTGGGGACTGGAAGGCACAAATGAGGAGGCTTTGTTGGGACGCTTTTGGGCCCAAATGCCCAGTAGCCTCAAGCCCCCCTCAGGACACCCAGATAAATGCATTCCCATACTCTGGAGTTCATAATCTATCCCTGTAGCCCCACCCTGCCCCACCTGGGGCCACAGGGCCCATCTCCTGCCCCCTCTCTCTCTCTGCCCCAGAGCAGCACCTCCAGAATAACAGCACAGATCTGTCGCACACACAAAATGATGGCATCAGGCACCCCGGACACGGTGACGGCACGCTCTGTGGAATTGGGGAGCAGGTCCCCTGCCACCTGCACCTGGGCACCTGTTGTCTGCAAATAGAAAACAGAGCCTACTTCTGGCTGCTCCAACAGTCCATAGAAGGGCTCCCAGGCTGAGTTTCACCAGAGGTATGAAGCCATAAGTACAGGGGTCTTCCACAAATAGAGGGTGGGGAATTCCCCATGGACAGATTCCCTCTCCCCTTACCTCTCGGATCTCCTTGATCTTGGTGCCAGCCTTCCCAATCAGTGAGCCACACTGGCTGGCAGGGATGACAAGGCGCAAAGTCACTGGAGGCCTGGAAACACTGCCACCATTTGCAGGAGCAGCACAAAGGTCCTGGGGCAGGGAGACGGTCAGTTGGTCACACACACCTACTCCTCTCCCACCCATCCTCAAGCACCTTTGGGCTGAGCAATTAGGCAGGTACCCCTTCCTCGTGCTCCTCCAAGGGAACACTACCCTGGGTTTGACCTCCTCTCCCACCCACAGACACTATCTAGAGTCAGGGCCACAAGCCTCCCTTCCTCCCAGGAACCATCCTTGAACTCCCGGCCTGCCAGCCCCAGACCTCATCCAGCTTGAAAGCAATCATGGAAACTGCATGGAAGACAGCCGCTGTGGAACCAGTGATGGTAGTGATGCGCTCAGGGCAGGAGCCCTCAGAGATGGTGATCCGGGCACTGCTCTGCAGGTACAGATCGGGTGCCAGGTAGCAGGGCACATTTCCCACTCACCAGTCCCCAGTCGAGGCTGGAAATTGCCAGCCTCTCAGATACCCAACTGCTCTTCCCAAATTGATTGGTTCAGGGATCTCCCCTTCCTCCACATCAGGTACCCTGGGCTCCTCCCCCAAACTCCCTCCTCACCTGCTCCCTGATTCGCTTCACAGTCTCTCCCTTCTGTAGGAAGCAAAACAGAGTATCACTCTTAGACCCACTGGTCCCCATCTCCTAGCCTGGGCTGAGGGGGACACACCTGGCAGCACTGGACACCTACCTTCCCGATTATGCTGCCCACTTCCTGCGAACAAGAGGAGAGTGGAGTCAGAGGGGTACCAGTGCCCCCGGCCTGGCTCCTCCCTTCACCCAGGCAGAGGTCCACCATGTCTGCACTGGCTGGGCCATCCCATCCCCTCCCACTCACCTTCCCGTGCATCAGCATCCGAAGTGTGAGGGTGATGCTAAGCTCTGGCTCCTCCTCCAGCCCATCCCTGATTCGCTTCACAGTCTCTCCCTTCTTCCCGATTATGCTGCCCACTTCCTTCCCGTGCATCAGCATCCGAAGTGTGAGGGTGATGCTAAGCTCTGGCTCCTCCTCCAGCCCCGCATCTGAGCTGCTCATCCTGTCAGGCGGGGCTGGGGCCACAATGGCCTGGGAGTGTGACCACGCCGTGGCCTGGCCGGGTCTGGTAAGGGCAATGGAAAGGGGTCAGAGAAGAACCCAGTTCACCCTGCCCCTGCCCTTACATGAGGACCCTGGCTAGAGCAAGCTAGTCAAACTCTCAGAGAAGGGAGACAGCACGGAGTTTGAGTTCCAAGTGTCCTTCTGATCAATGTGCTTATGTGTGCCTCATTACCTGTGTAACTCTGGACAGGTCATTTAACCCTTCTGGGCCTCAGCTTCCCTCATCTCTAAAAGGGATACCAGGGCCACAGATGTAGCTCAGTGGCACCACATCTGCCTGACAAGTGCAAGGTCCTGAGTTCAATCCCAGCCAAAAATAAATAAATATATGGGATACCAAATCTTATCCACCCTCAAATTAGGACAATTAAAAAGTCAGCACATACACAGGGCACTCGGGCTCCTTGTCTTTCCCTTCCTTTCATATATGAGGATGGCTGGGTTATACCTCAGTGGGAAAGTTCTTATCTAGCATGAATAGGTTCTGGATTCAATCCTAGCACTAATCAAAGAATGAACTAGGAGACCTATAGAAGGCCAGAAAAGACAGCCTCATCCTTGATCTCTTGAAAGAGAAGATCCCTGTGGACTAGGCCCTGAAGGTGGAGTTAAAATGTAAAGATTACTGCAAACAAAAACCTAGCTTTCTGGAGGGTGGAGGATCAGCTGCAGAGGAAGCTGGAGCAGTTTTGGGAGGTCTTAAAGGGAGGGCAGCAAGACTGGGTGAGGTTCTGGACAGGGTTCTCTCGCCCCTGCCTTCCACCTGCCACCAGGGGCTGGTCCCATCTACTAGAGGCCACCCAAGCGGAGGCTGCTTATGGACAGCTCTGAGCAGGATGCATTCAGCTCCAGACTTGGAGTAGGAGAGGGTGTTCAGAAGTCTTCCCAGTGGTGTTTTCATCGCGCTCCTATGTGCTCAGAATGGCTCTGGCACAGGAGGTGAGAAGCGTCCAGGATGACCACATTCCCCACATAGAACACTTTCTACTGTACCAGAAACAATCCCTGGGCTCAGTGTCTCAATTTCCTCACCCATACAACAAAAAGAACATGTCCCATCTCTCTCT